TGTGTGTGTGTGTGTGTGTGTGTGTGTGTGTGTGTGTGTGTTTTCATCCTACACCATACGGTTTCACGCTAAGAAACCCCACAGTTAGCTGTGATATGACCGTTCAAACCACAGGGAATACATGCACCTGGACTTATGTCCTTTCTCGTGGGTAGTACTAGAAGCAACTTGGTGATATGGTCCTGGCTCCGTTCTATTCTGGGGAGCGTCAGTCCGGTTCCTATTCCACCGGCAAGTCAGAATATACATTACATTGAGACTCACACATGCTTCCTTCCGTTCGGCCGAAGGGCCCCTGGACAGCATTGATTGTTCCACCTTGGTGGAGGATTAACTGCCAGCTTGCCATATCCCTCTCTTTCCTCTCAGATCTGGAGGCCAAATCTGTCAAATAGTACTATGCCACCTAGAAAGAGCTCCCCCTTAATCCCTGCTGGCCTGCCTCATCCCCACTCATCTGTCCTGCCCGTGAGGCGTGATAACCCCTGTCCCATTCTATCTGTCCCCCTTTCTTTAAAGTTTAAGTCATCACTAAAGCCCTGAACCTTAAACCCTCGACCCATCATCCCTTTGAGACGGTGTTTCCCCCTTGTTCTGGTCTTTTGGTCCCTCTCCCTGTTATCCAACCATAGCTGTACCCAGATGATCAGATCCAAAATAAAAGCATATTCAATCCTATCAGAGACAACGAAAGCCCTTGAATTGAGACAATCCAACATTGAAACAGTTTCACCTCTATAGCAAGCCATATGAAGTACAATAGAGGCATGTAAACCCCTTTCTTTTTTTTCATTTTTTTTTTCCAAACAGAACCTCAAGGTTCTGGCTCCTTTTCCCTTCTGGGGAGCATCAGTCCGGTTCTTCTTCCCCCGGCAAGTCAAAGATAGTACAATGGTTACTCACACACGCTCCTCCCCCTTATGGCGTGGAGACCCAGAAGACGGCATTGATTACTTCCTTCAAGGAGGATGTACCGATCTTCACCCCTGCCTAGGAGCTATCAGGTCTCTTTTCTGACTATTCCTCTCTGTCAACTGGAGTTGTGGCATGTCAGTGTTTTGGGGGCAGTGGGTGTGACGGGTCCCTTTACTTTACTTCCGGACTCCTTGAGAGCTATTTTACTTGAGCCCTAAAACCTAGCTTGGTTATATCCTGTGGATGAAACTTTTTTTCTGGGGGTTATTTCCTGACTACTGCTGATGGGGAGACTGCTTGGATTCTGTGGCATATTCTCTGTTCGGGGTTGGCGTAAAGGGAGGGGGGTTGGTAGGGTAGGGAATTTTGGATCGGTGCTGGTTGTGGGATAGATGCAGTGCGTGGGAGTGGGGAGGGGAAGGGGGCTGTGTGCATTAGTCTGTGTTTGCTCGGATGCTTGTAGGATGGGGTGTGAGTGGGAGGAGGTCTGTGGGGGGGGGGGAGGTGTCGAGGAGGTTGCTGCTCTGGAGGTGGCTGGGTGTTGTGGGGTTGGTTTAATATCGGTGATCTCTGAGGTAGAGCGGACGATGGGTAGCTTGGTATTGTTGGTTTGCATATCCCATTTTTGAGGGTGAGACTATTCATGTCCTTTGGGGCCTACGTTGGTTTGCGTAACCCATTTTTGAGGGTGAGACTATTCCTGTCCTTTGGGGCCTACGTTGTGCGTGTTCGGCTTAAAACCATATGCTCTCGAAAGGGTTCTCCTTATATGGAACCAGTTCTTTTTTAGCTGTAGAAATCCTTTGGGTGATAGCGTAAAATACTAATGGTTCTTTTTTGTTGGCTGCTAGCTTGTTGTCAGCTGGGACCTGTGTTCCATTCTTCAGTTGTCTTTTGCTCGTTCCTTTGATCTTCCCCAAAGAAAGGGGTTTACATTATGGTTCAATGTAAACCGCTTTCTTGATTGTGTTCACGTTTGCTTTCTTTGGGGTACCCCTTTCAGTTGTTGTTGCAGCTCCCCAGTTGTTGTTGCAGCTCCCCCTTTTACTGTGCCTCTCATGCCCAAGGCTCGCCACGTTGATTGTGGTTGAGCGCGAACTGCCTACATCCCCGTGTGCCATAACGGCCCACTTGGGTACTATGAAAGGAGGCAGAGCAAAGGCGGAGGTATATTCCTGTTCATTTCTTCTCAGATCTTCAACTTATATTTTGTCTGTTCTCTCTTTTTTTTTTTTTTCTTCTTTTTTTTTAACGCAGTCCTGGCTCCTATTCTGGGGAGCGTCAGTCCGGTTCCTATTCCACCGGCAAGTCAGAAGAAACATTGCATTACTGTTACGGACTTCGCCAGGGCTCGATCCCTGGTCTATCTTTTGCTGTTTCGGCTGCATCCCGTTTTCGGCCTGGCACCCTTTTTCCAAACCCCTCCTTTGGTACCGTAGGATTTTGGACAACTGGCGCCATGCTGCAATTCGGGCGCCACTTTC